TACGACACTTCGTATCCGAGCGCCTGGCCAACACGCGACCTCGATCGAATCACGCAACGGCATTCTTAGGGGCACTCTCCATATGATTGAGGAAGAGCTGAATAGACACAACATCCCTGTTGTATTTACTAGAGTATTGGCTGAAGGCATATTCGCTAGCAGCGCTTTCACGCTTTACAACGGAGTATCGCCATACCAAGCACACACTGGGCGACAGCCCTCCTTTCTTCCTGACCTCGACACCCTTGACCTCCCTAAGGAACCCGAGACGTCAGGCCACGAACGAGAACGCCGTGTGAGGGAAGTTAGCCTGGAAGCAATAACTCAAGCCACGGCGGTAGCTAAGACAAATCGTGCTCTCAGGGCTAAGACGGCCCCAGATGGTGCTCGCCTTTACTCAGCAGGGGACTTGGTCGACTATCACCGACCTACAGCCACTAAGGACGACCACGGAGGCTGGAATGGCCCGTTTCCTGTGATCCGTAACGTGCCTGAACGAGGACACGTCGTCGTCAGGGCAGGATCACGCGAGGTATTTGTAATGTACCCTGATGCTCGCCACACGCTATACATTGAATGCCTCCTTACCAGGGAACTTGGCATGGACAACATGGCCATGCAAACCGTCCTTAATATGTGGCACACCTTGGTGCAGGGAAACCTGCCGAAGTCTTTGGCTATATTCCAGACTACAAGGGAAACCTAAATCTTTCGGACGACAGCAAGTTTCACCCACGCGTACATCTTGCACTACAGTATCTCGTGCGAAATTATTTCCGAGTTGAACGTGTAGTAGCCGTGAGATTGGCCGAGAGCGCGTCCAATCTGCCTGCAGTAAAGAACGCCACCGGGTCTACACTGATCCACTACGACAACGATGTCAATCCAGCCTTCCACTATTATGAGTGCGTGGGCACCGGCCTGAACATCTCTCAAATCATTGGTAGCACTCACTCCAGACTCATCCAGTGCCTGACGTCACATGTTCCGTCCCTAGGATTTCATGACGACCTTGCCAAGCATCAGCACTCGGGCACAACGTCTGGAGAACACGACCAGCCTGGAGACAGGCTTCCACCAGACACCCCAGGTGCTTCATCACCAAGTGAGAGTCGCCTGTCTACAATCTACGAAGAAAGCGAGGAACATGACATCGAGGCTATGATGATGGAGGAGTGGTACGATGAGTTACGTATAGACCTTCATCCCACAACGGTTACCGACGATCATCTCTACTGCGTCCCAACAACTATGCTGCCCGACCAATGTGTTTTGGTCGCAGCACCCGTGGACGAGGAAGACATCGCAGTGTCGGAAATGCTCGGAGACGAGCCTGAACCACAAGAGCCCTGTCTTATCGCTCGATGCTCGACTACACCTGACGAGGGCTATTCTCTTGACAGTGATGAACATGGTCCTTATGTTGAGTTATGTTTTACACCAGACATGTCAAAGGTAGTGTTGGATCAGACCCAACTTGCACAGCTTGAAACTGACATGGTCGCAACGATGAGAGTACATGTATCATCGGCTGCTAAACGTGCTGTGGTAGTCAAAGAAGACGACCTACTCACCAAAGCCGATATAGCAGCACACCCTAAAGAGGTTAGCGAAGCTCTGTACACCGAACTCAAGATCTGGCTTGATAACCGATGCTTCGAGATGTATGACCTATCTAAAGCTTCCAACATCATGACATCCAGATATGTATACAAGTGGGAGTTTGTGAAGGTAAGCACTGAGAACGTTAAAACCATCCGTCTCAGACTTGTCCTTCGCGGATTCATGGACACGGAGGCGTTCGATGTAGAAACCTTCTCAGGAACTGCTCGAAGACAGTCCCAGAGGCTCCTGGCAAGTGAGGCGGCATGTCATCCAGAATGGATCTTAGCATCTATGGATATTGACAAAGCGTTCCTCAAAGGCCTGACCTATGAGGAACTTGCTCACGCCACCGGCGAGGAAACTCGCATGGTTTGCTTCGCTCTTCCACCAGGAAGCGCCCAGGTGCTTCGTACACTACCAGGCTTCTCTTCTTACGATGAAAGCCGACACTGCCTTAGGTGCCTCAAGCCAGGGACGGGTACAAAGGACGCCCCAAGAGCGTTCTCCCTCAAGTTTCGTACGACCATACGAGCTATTGGCCTCGCACCGACAAGTTACGATCCTGAATTTGAATTCAGTCAAGATCTGTTAACGGCAAAATATGTCGACGATATCAACATGACAGGCCTAGAGAAAAGCGTAGATGACTATGTACAACGTGTCGAAAAGGTGTTTGGTAAATGCAAGCTCAACAAACACCCCTATACGAACTGCGCCGTTCGCTACATTAAGAATGAGCAAGGGGATGTGATCATGGACCAGGACGAGTACATTAAACAACTACGTCCTATCACACGCCCTGAACTTACGGGAGCGGCGGCTGACGCCAAAGCTACCACATTCATCACCGACATGTTCGTTAGCCTGCGAGGAGCCCTCGCCTACGCCCTTCTTACTCAAGTCTGGCTCATGGTGCATGTGGTTTCTCTCCAGAAGATCCAAGAGCCCACCGACTTACAAGTCAGGCGACTGAATGCTGTGACGCGAAAGCTGATCAGCAGCCCGAAACGCATCACCTTCCCTCGGATGAAACCGATGAATGAAGCAGACATACAAAGTGGTTCGGGGTATCGGAAGCTCACCGGGGAGGAAGACGATGAGACCATGGGCTACGGCATCCGTGGGGCTAACGTATTACGGCGAGGAAACTCGCCTCAAGGCAAATCCGTCATCCACCTTTGCGACGGACTATGCAAATCACACCGACTGCAGGTGAGGTCCAGCTATGCCGCTGAGGTACTTGCAGCCGCACACAATCTTGATGAATGTTATCCCACGCTCATCACTCTCCACGAGCCCAAGGCAGGGGCACTTACTCCACGACAACTACGAGATATGCGTGCAGTTGGAGGCCTAGCTATTAAAGCATCCCTGACTATAGACGCCGAGTCCGTATACAAGTCGCTATCCAGCAAAGATCTTAAAATACCGACGGAACGGACTTTGCTGGGACATATCAGCTGGATACGTGAGCTCATGGATATAGGTATAGTGCATAACGTACATTGGTGTGATACTAGAGACAGGACCGCAGATGGGCATACAAAGGGGGGTATCGATCGGGAGCTGCTTTTGGAAGTGATGTCAGGCACTCAGTCATTTAAGTGTGACGTGAAGCGGTTTGTTCCCTTTCGGGGTCCTGCGGACAGAAGTAAGCCTAAGTCAAATCAGTTTTAGTCTGTCCTTGTTGCCCCCGCGGTCCAGTCTGCCAGCAGGGGCGCCTGATACAGAGGCGCCCTCCTAGTTGCTCGGAAACGAGCCTTACATTTCACGCTTGGCAACGAGCCTGTTCAGGTTGATTCAGGCTCTTTGCTTTAATACCCTTTTGCTTGGAGAGGTATAGCCTGTTTGGCTTACCTCTAGCCGGGCCGATAGCCCTTTGATGTCCAAGGGGCTATCTTGCGCATGCGTGAAAATGTTTTGCGAGGAAACTCGCCTTACAGTCTGGTGTCAGGCCAGACTGTACGCACTGTTTTTCTTGCAAACAGTCGTGCGCGCGGCCTTTGTAGAGCCTAACGGCTGCGCGGCTATACTCACCGCCTCCTCCCCTCCCGACTTTAAGGGTCGCTATTTGGGAGATGTTATCTAGGATCGGGAGTATAGCTCGCGCGCCGTTGCCTTTGGCTCAAGGCACGCGCGCCCTATTTGCCCGGACACTGCGAGTGTTCGCTATGTGCTGGAAAGATCATTACATCGATCTTATCCTATCTTATCCGTCCATTCCCCTTACTGAACCACCACAGTACGGCATCGGACGCTATCTGCCATCCGCTCCCCATGGGATCGGATGCTACTTGACTTACCATAGTCATTTCAGACTAACACCAGGCTCACCCGGGCAACCGGGGCAACCAGGCATCCCAGGCAACCAACCACGGGGAAGGCCAGTTGATTTAGGCCTGGCACCCACCAGTTGATTTGGAAGCAAACTTGAGTGGGGAAAAGTCGTCTGAGGGGGGGGGGGGGGGGGACGGGCCAGACGGCCTCCGATGGCCCCAAGGCGCCCCGAGGCCGCTCCGAGGTGGCCCCCAAAAGAGCCCCCCGACCGAGCCTGGACCCTCCTTGGAAGCCCCGAGCCGGAAAGGGTACCCAGATGGTTCCCGAAGGCCCATGAGGGCCCCGAGGAAGAAGTTGCAACGAAGGCCCAGTTGCCTCCGCGAGCGACACAAGAGGAGACTGAGTGTTCGGTCGCACGCGAGCCGAGGACAGTGGGAGATTATTGTCGTTGCCGCCCCTCGAGCCTCCATCCCCACGTCTCGCTCCACGCTCACCGCTCCTCTCCCGCTGTTCCTCGCTCGTCGCCCCCCTCTCTCCTCGTCCAGTTCTCCTTATGATTCCTCCTCGCTTCTCTCCCCTCGCCCGCCGCTCGCTCCTCTCTCCTTGGCCGTCGTTCCCCCCTTCTCGGTCGCCGCTCCCTGCTCCTCGCTGATCGCTCCTCGCTCCGTCTTCCTCCCTCCTCGATCCTGACCCCTCGCTCCCGACGAACAGCGGCAGCACGAAGGAAGCAGCACCAGCGGCAGTGCACGGCAGGAGCAGGCAGCAACATCCTGCGGCAGCACCCAGCAAGCATACTGGCACCCTGCAGCACCTTGCAGCCAGAAGCAGCAGCGGCTGGCAGTGCCAACCGCGCGCAAGTGCGGCAGCAGGCGGCAGCGCGCAGCGGCAGGCTCGCAGAATTAACCAGCACCGAGCGGCAGTAGCAATTACCAAGCGGCAGGAAGCGACAGCGATCGCACGGCCAAATAATGAAGCGAGCAACATAGAACGGTAGCGATATAGCCCAAATCTATCGTGCCACCTGGCTAGCAACCATGCAATCAACACAGCAGACAAGCAGGCAAGCGACCGTCACCCCTGCATGCGATCAAGCTCCCGTAGACCGTAGTCTAGATCAGCCCTGACTTACCTACAACGCTGGGATCAGCGCGTGCGGTAAAGGCGAGCAATGGCAGCGAGCTCTGTGGCTGCTCTGCGAGATGCGGGAGGCGAAGCTGGAGCCCACAGTCGTCAGCTACAGCGCTGGAGTGAGCGCGTGCGAGAAAGGCGAGCAGTGGCAGCGGGCCCTGTCGCTGCTCAGCGAGATGCGGGAGGCGAAGTTGGATTCCAACGTCATCAGCTACAGCGCTGGGATCAGCGCGTGTGGGAAAGGCGAGCAATGGAAGCGGGCATTGCCTCTGCTCTGCGAGATGCGGCAAGCGGAGCTGGAGTCCAACGTCATCAGCTACAGCGCTGGAGCGAGCGCGTGCGAGAGAGGCGAGCAGTGGCAGCGGGCCCTGTCGCTGCTCCGCGAGATGCGCGAGGCGAAGCTGGATTCCAACATCGTAAGCTACAGCGCTGAGATTATCGCGTGTGGGAAAGGCGAGCAATGGCAGCGGGCTCTGTCGCTGCTCTGCGAGATGCGGGAGGCGAAGCTGCAGCCAGACGTCATCATCTGCAGCGCTGGAGTGAGCGCGTGCGAGAGAGGCGAGCAGTGGCAGCGGGCCCTGTCACTGCTCCGCGACATGCGGGAGGCGAAGCTGGAGCCCACAGTCGTCAGCTACAGCGCTGGGATCAGCGCGTGTGGCACAGGCGCGCAGTGGCAGCGGGCCCTCTGTCTGCTCCGCGAGGTGCGGGAGGTGGAGCTGGAGCCCGACGTCGCCTCCATGACCATACCAGGGTCCGCGCGCCCCCGGAGTGCTCCCGAGCGGCTGTGCCCCCCTTCCTTGGCATCGCTCGGGCGTGTGCATTTTCTCCTTCGGCGAGGACCATCGAGGAGCATCCTTGATCCGTTGGCGAAAAGGCCACGCACGAAACCGAAAAAAGCACGCAGGGAGTGGACGTCCGAGCGATGTCGAGCTCCTCTGCTCGACCGGGACGGCACGGTGCCGCTGCGCAGGGTGCCTGCCCGGCCGCGCGAGCCTCCAGGAGGCGACCGCGCCGGCCGAGGGCGCGCCCGGACGGCCGCAGGTCGGGCCGACGTGGCCCCGAGAGGCCGCGAGATGGCCTTGCGCAGGGCCCACGGGAGGCAGAATCGTGAGATGTCCTTCGAATGTGCCGCACTCTCTCAATACCTTCCTCCTTTTTTATATAAAAAACTATATACAAAAAAGAAAAAAACTCGCTCAGTTTTTTTTCCCAACCATCCTGTGGTGTCGGGTCCTCGTTTTGAAGAGACGTCGCCCCGCTTCCTGCCTCCTCCACTTCGGCACACCCCTCACACGTTTCGTGGCCCCAGAGGGAGCTCCACCGAAGGCCCAAGTGCTGCCGCCCGCATGCGTCACGCACACCCAATTCGGCACACCCCTCACACGTTTCGTGGCCCCATAGGGAGCTCCACCGAAGGCCCCAGTGCTGCCGCCGCATGCGTCCCGCACACCCAATTCGGCACACCCCTCACACGTTTCATGGTCCCAGAGGGAGCTCCACCGAAGGCCCCAGTGCTGCCGCCCGCATGCGTCACGCACACCCAATTCGGCACACCCCTCACACGTTTCGTGGCCCCATAGGGAGCTCCACCGAAGGCCCCAGTGCTGCCGCCCGCATGCGTCCCGCACACCCATTTCGGCACACCCCTCACACGTTTCGTGGCCCCATAGGGAGCTCCACCGAAGGCCCCAGTGCTGCCGCCCGCATGCGTCCCGCACACCCATTTCGGCACACCCCTCACGCGTTTCGTGGCACCATAGAGGCTCCACCGAAGGTCCCAGTGGGTGTGCCCGCATGCGTCCCGCACACCCAATTCGGCACACCCCTCACACGTTTCGTGGCCCCAGAGGGAGCTCCGCCGAAGGCCCCAGTGGGTGTGCCCGCATGCGTCCCGCACACCCAATTCGGCACACCCCTCACACTGTCTTTTAAATACTCAACCCCCTGTCCCATGAGGTCCCCTAGAGTATTCTCAGAGTTTGATGTGTTTCACGAGTTGCGCGACACTGTGTCCAGTGCCGCTGGGGTGACTGTCTGCGTTGCGCAGGGAATACGGACAGTCTCGACTATTGTGATGTTGTGGCTCAAGCGCGCAAAACATCCGGGAGGAAGGGGGCCTCCCGCTTGTCGCCCCGCGCGCCCCTGGGCCTCCAGAGTCCCTCGATCCGCCCACGAACCCGTCTCACATGGTAGCAGGAGCGTGATGGTTGGGCAGGGACAAGGGCCAGCGGGCGCCGCCGAGGGAGGCGAGCAGCCCCTCCCGCCCGACGAGGTGGAGCGTGCTGCCAGAGCAGCACTAGCAGCAGCAGCAGCAGCAGCAGCAGCAGCAGCAGTAGCAGCACCAGCGCCCGAGGCTCCCAGCGGAGACCAAGGGGCGCGAGTGGAGCCGGCAACGGCGGGGAGCGGCAGCCGAGGGACAGGCCGCGCGGGAGCTCCCTTGCCGGCAACGACAGCAGAGGAGGCAGACCCCTGGCTGCAGGGGGACCCGTGGAGCGACGCGGCAGGGAACAACAGTGCCGGCTGGTGGAACTCGTGGATAGAATGGTGGGGCTCAGCCAGCTGGTGGACCCGCTCTCAGGTGAATGAATATGCAGACCACTGGTGGACCAGCTCACCAGCAGACGAGGGCGAGGTCTGGGTCACCATCCAGAGGCCGCGGCAGCCGCCGCTCCCCCACGCGCTGATGCGCGGAGCGGCCGGGAGCGAGCCCGCCACGGCGCAGGAGCCGACCTCAGCGGGCACGTCGAGACCGCGCGAGGCCCTTTCGTCGGCACCTGCGCCGGCGACGCCGCCGGCACGGCCACCCGCGGCGGCGATGGCTCCAGCGCAGCCGACCCAGCCACCCGCAGCAGCAGCGATGGAGCTGACGGTCGGGACGACGCAGGCTCCGCCACCGCCACGGCCATGGGCACCCACCGACGGAGGATCGACGTCTACGTGGCGCCCGTCGGACACGCAGGGCCCACAGCCGTGGGGAGGCTTCGAGCATCTCGAGACCTACGTAGTCGCCCTGCGGCGATGGAGCAGAAGGACGGGCCTGCCGGCTGAGCAGCAGGCGGGCAAGGTCATCGACGGCTTGCCCGTGGACATGCAGGAGAGGCTCCTGCACTACGCGGAGGAGCTCGACGCCCCCGGTGGCATCGAGGTCCTCATCGACTTCCTGAAGAGGTGCCGGGGCGACCAGGACGGCGACGAGGCCAAGGAGAGCTTCAGACTGGCACTGGAGGACACCGAGATGAGAGCGGGGGAGTCGTTCACCCAGTACGTGATGCGCCGGGACCTACAGGTGAAGTCGGCGAAGAGGTACGGGCTCGAGCTCCCAGAGCAGGTCCAGGTGCAGCAGTTGAGGAGTGGAGCGAACCTGAGCGAACAGAATGCGATCAACCTGCTCTCGATCACCCAGGGCCGTGAGGATCTGGAGTCGATCAAGCAGGGCCTGAAGAAGATGGACGTGAAAAAGAAGAGCAGTCAGAAAAAGTCGAGGGTGCACGCGGTCGGACACGACGAGGACGAGGACGACGAGGAGGTGTTCGGCAGCAGCGAGGTCTACTTCGAGCTGGAGGAGGACCCCATCCTGGACACCGAGGACGCGCTGGCCTTCTACGAGGCGATCGCCAACCAGGAGTTGGACGAGGACCAGGCGGCGGCCGTCCTGGCCGCGGTGCTGGACGAGAAGAGGACCAAGGAGGGCCAGCCTCGGAAGTGGGCGGAGTCGCGAGAGCTGAAGAAGGCCATCGCCCGAGATCGCGACTTCTTCGACTCCAAGAGAGCCGGAGGCCGGGCAGCGCCACGCCCGCCGGCGGGCAAGCATCGCCTCAGCATCGCCCGCCTCAAGGAGAGAACGCGGTGCGCCAACTGCGGTCAGAAGGGGCACTGGCGCAAGGAGTGCGCCAATCCGTACAAGCCGAAGCAGATTGAGCAGCGGCCCAAGAAGGAGCTCGGGGGGAAGTCGCTCTACGCGGCGGCGGACTTGCTGGGCGAGGCGACGGCGCCTTCCTCGTCGGAGGACCTCGGATTCGGGAGCTGTTTCGGAACGTGCTGATCGGCGAGTCCTGCGATCGGGGCCAGGTGGGCCACGGACGAGTGCCAGCCGACCAGCCTTTGCGAGGCCAGGTGGGGCTCGCGGAGGAACGAGGCGATCCCGATGACGGAGAGCTGGGGCCAGGTGGGCCTCGTTCGAGGTCAGAGGGAGCAGCTCCCGATGACAGAGAGCTGGGGCCAGGTGGGCCTCGTTCGAAGTCAGAGGAGGCGATCCTCGGCACGTTCATCCTGGACATCGAGGGCGACGAGCCGGAGGGCATGGTGGACACGGCGGCCGGGCAGGCGCTGGTGGGCGAGAAGCAGCTGAAGGTATTGCAAGAGAAGTACTACAAGAAGGGCTGGCGAATCCCGGTGAGGAAGACCGACGGCAACAGCAGCGCCAAGGGGATCGGCGGCCGCTCCAGGGTCGTCGGGGAAGCGATGGTGCCGGTGACCAGTGCGGGGATCCGGTGCCTCATCCTCTTCAGGGTGATCGCGGAGGACGTCCCCCTCCTCCTGCCCGTGCGCTGGATGGAGAGCCTGGGGGCCGTCGTGAACCTGGCCGAGGACAAGATCACGCTGCGCTTTGAGGGGCTCGACCGCACGGTCAAGCTCACGAGGCAGAGGTCCGGCCATCGCACCATGGCGCTGCTGGACGAGAGCCTCCCGGGGGACTTCGACATTCCTGAGGGGGCCCGGCGCGACTGGCCGGGCCTCGAGAATGACACGTTTCGAGTGTGCAGGCCTTCCTCCTTCGCCATCCTCCCCTCCTCTACGCCCGAGGCCTCAGGAGAGCCCGCATGGGACCCCCTCGAACTCGAAACCCCCGGGACCGTAGAAGGGAAGGGGGGGATCGGCTCGGCATGATTCCAGGATACCCGACTTAAGGACTCAAGAGGCACTACGGGGAGATCACGAAGTACAAGAGAAGGAGAGGCTGAGGAGGATACAGGTACCAGAAGAGGTGGCACAGGGAGAGGAGGCGGCGGAGAGACCAGGAGGCAACTCTCGGAGCTCACCTCAACCGTCGTCCAGACCCGTGGGCTCGAGAGCACGTCCGATTTCTTCGACTCATCTCACGGGCCAAGAGAGCAAGAGCCTCCGTCACGAGAGAGCCATGGCGCCCGGGAGAGCTCGCACGCCAGCAGCGAGGCGAAGCTCCAGTCTGAAGCGAGAGGGAGCCTCGAGGAAGAATTCAGCACCAGGGACTCCCCGGCCGTCAGTCACCTTCTCGGAGCCGATGGACACCAGCTGGGAGAGGCTGCCGGGATCCGACCTGGAGTCCGAGGGGAGCGAGCAGTCATCCCCGCCGCTGCAGGACGGCGCGGCCTCGACCCGTCCCACATCTCCGTCACCGCCCCAGCCGACGTCAGGGCCCCACATCGGCCTCCAGACGAGCTCCCTGAGGAAGGCCTGGAAGCGGATGACGGTCAAGCTGATGCACGTGGCCGACGTGGGACAAGCGACCAAGATGATACAGGAGATGCGCGACGAGGCGACCGGGAAGATGAATGCCCTGGAGTGCCCTCATCCACCCTGGGCCCACTGGGAGTCAGGCAACCAGCACATGCGCTACGTCAAGTGCCTGAGGTGCTCGAGCATGATCTGGAGGAGGGACCTCACGCACCGCGAGAAGCAGGCCCAGCAGCTCAAGAAGGTCGAGAAGGAGGCCCGGCGGGCGGCGAGGACCAAGCAGTTGGAGACGCCGCCTTGGGAGCCGCCGAAGGTCGAGGGTCGCAGCAAGGAGGGCGTCAAGAGGGCGGCCAGGGCTACTCCAGCGGCGTCGTCCGGTTCGGCCGACACGACGGTAGAGACGAGCAGCTCCGACCTCAACCAGATGATGAAGGCGATCCAGACCAACAGCGAGGTGGTATCGCAGCTGGCGCTGGCGATCCAGCAGCTCGTGCAGAAGGGGACCTGAGGGGCTTAGAGAGCCGAAGGGGGATCAGGGATGGGGACCAAGGGAGCTCGGGGATCCAGGACGGTCGGGGCCTCCAGGGACCCACTCCAGGAGGATCTTTCTGTGCGGAACCCGGGGAAGGAGGGGAAATCTGGCGAGCAGCCTCTGTCGCACGATCCCGCTGTCTCGGCAAAAGTCACCGAGACAGCAGCTTTAGAGCCTCGGGCATATGGTGGGACACTAGGGAAGGTCGGACGGTCACGCTCGATGAGGTTTCCAGGGCCCGGGGCTGGGAATCCCACCGGCTCGATCCAGAAGAAAAATGCCGCCTAATGGCCCAAGTGGCCTGCTACTTAGTTCGTCGGCCCGACCCGGGCGACCTAGGCGAGTGGCTTTCGGACTGGGTCAGGATCCGCTGCTCAGGAGCGTCGGGAAACATTCTCTACGACTCCCTCTCCTCAGACTTCTCGGCGCGGCAGTTACAGCTCGCCATCGCCAACGAACCCCTGGACCACACCACCGTAGAGGCGTGGGCAGCTTCGGCGTCTACGAACGCGCCTCCGCCCGGCTCGAGTTCGAGGACTCCGGCTGGACCGGCGTCTCCGCTGGAAGGTATGCACTCCCTTGGCCGGGCCCCCTCGATCTCAGGATTGGTTTTCTCCCAGGAAAGTGAGTGCCTGATTCCCAGAGAGGTCCGAGACGCCGCGTTGGCCGTAGGAGGGGAGGGACCGGTGAGGAAGCAGCGGAAGCGGCGGAAGAAGCTCGTCCAGGACTGGCTTTTGGGGTCTGGCCGCAAACTGGTCAAGGAACTCTTTTCGGTCCCACGGGTCGCGGACAGTCTGAAGGGGCAGGGCTATCCTGTTTCCAAGAGTCTGGATTTACGGACCGGTTATGATCTCGGGTCTCCGTCAGGGGAACGTGCGATGTGGAGTATCATAGAGCGAGATCGGCCCGAGGTCATAGTCATGAGCCCTGAGTGTCTGGCCTTCTCCGTTGCCCGTCGTCCCAGCTGGCGTCGACTCAAGGGAACCGACCTCGCAGACCCCGAGACCGCCGGCCTCAAGTTCATGTCCCTGTGCGTTAGAGTGGCCGAAAACCAGATGGGTCGGGGCCGTGGTTTCCTTCTTGAGCACCCCGAGGGTGCCAGCTCCTGGGAAATGGACTCGGTGCGGGAAATCTTGAATCGGCCGAGTGTCGTGTCGGGGGTTGCCGATCTCTGCCAGTGCGGCTTGTCCGTGAAGGGAGGGGAACCCAACAAGAAACCAACCAGGTTCATGACCAATCGTGCGTCTATTTTGCAGCCCCTCCTGCTCAGGTGCGACGGGAGTCATCAGCATCGTCAGCTCTGTGGCAGGGCCCTCACGCGAGCGGCCCAGAACTACCCCCCGGGACTTGTCCAGGCCATGTGCGAGGGAATCCTGGAGTCAGCTCGCATCGTCGCCCTCGGGCACCGGGAGGAAACCCTGTGGTCCGGCGTCTGGGAGGATCCCGAGTGGCTGGCCGAGAGAAGGGTGACAGGGGTCCCATCCCCCAGACCAATTGATCGACAGGTTGCCTCCTTTCCAGCCCAAGAGGACCTTGGCTCGGACGACGAGCCCGAGGAGGGCGAGGGGAGGGAAGGACTCGGGTCTAGTCAGAGAGCGGGGAGGCAGGCCGGGTCAATCAGTCGAAGTCAGCGCCTGGAGGTTTCCCGGACCCACGTGAACCTGGGCCACCCGTCAAGGGACGCCTTTTTGAAAATGCTGCAGGTTGCCCAGGCCCGGCCCGAAGTTATAGAATACGTCAAGCACGAGTTTCGTTGCGAGCAGCGTGACAGCCACACCCGACCGTCGTGGAGGCGTCGAGCCGCCGTTCCCCTCACCTACCGGTTCAATCGGCTCGTTGCTGTGGACTGTCTGTTCGTTACGATTCTCAGCACTAAGATGACGGTTCTGAACATGCTCGATCACGGCACTAACTTTCAGCTGTGCCATCTGCTCGGCCCCGGGGAGCCACTGACGTCCGAGAATATCTGGGAGGCTTTTGACAAGAGCTGGATCAGGATCTTTGGCCCCCCCGAGGTCGTCATCAGCGATGGAGGATCAGAATTCCTGGGCGCGTTCGGCCGTGGCTGTGAGCATGCAGGCGTGTTTCAGCACGTCTGCGACGCCACGTCTCCGCGGCAGAACGGCCGGGCGGAGCGACACGGAGGATGGATCAAGAGTGCTCTGACGAAGGCCTCCGATCATGTCCAGCCGACGTCTCATGCCGAGGTCGAGTTGTTGCTCCATGAAACAGTGTCCGCAAAGAATCGATACTACCACCGGTCTGGGTACTCTCCGTACCAGCTTGTCTTTGGAGAGAACCCCAGACTGCCACGGTCTCTTCTCAGCGACGAGGGAGTGGACGACATCGGCCTAGCAGATGTCCAAGCCGAGTCCGCCATGGAGGATAGTGCGGCCAGTGCGTTCGCCAGAAAGCATCAGATCCGTGAGCAGGCCAAGAAGGCCTTGATGGCGGCGGACGCCAAGTCGCGTCTCGCCGAGGCCCGGAGATCTCGACCCCATGTCGATCGCGTCTTTCTGCCCGGTCAGTGGGTGTACGTGTGGCGCAATGTGACGGGGGTGAAAACTCACGCGCTGCAACGCGACCGGTGGGTCGGCCCCGGGGCCGTCGTCTTTCACAAGGGAACCACAGTTTGGATCGCGATGCGAACCAAGCTATGGAAGTGCTCGGTCGAGCAGGTCCGAGAGGCGACGCGTGCCGAGGCGCTCGGAGCCGAACTCGTGGATACCCCGGAGTTTCGGGCCCTTCAGGCTGAAGTTCGCAACCCAGGCAAGAAGGTGGGGGCTCTGGACGTCGAATCCGAGGGTTCCCCCCCCGACGAGGCCTGGGACGGTCAGGACACGATCGGGGCCGAGGCAGGAGGACCGGTCACTACTGGCGGAGGAGGCGGAACGGCGTCGGCTCGTCCCTCGGAGCCCGCGGAAGCCTCGGTGGAAGCCCGGTCTCCTCTTCCGACTATTCCTGAGAGCAGCGAGGTGGTGAGCTTAGGAGACCAGAGCGAGCTTCCCGAGGACCTGCGCCGAGCTCTGGATGCCCCGGTCCCCCCCCCGTCCTGCTCCTGACCTGGGTCGATTTGTCAGGACCGAACCCCTCGAGGACAAAGAGGATAAGTTGCATCCCCCTCCCGGCCTGGAGGAACCACCTAGAGCTCGACCCCGAGTAGAAGGCAGTCCCAGCCCGTCTCCCGCTGTCTCTTCCGCTCCCAGTCTAGTCAGGACCATCGTCGGCTGTCGAGGCGATTCGAATCCAGGAGCTTCAGTCGAGCCTGAAAGAGTCAGGGAGAGATCTCCGCGAGCTGCCGCCCGACCAGCTGAGGGATCGACGCCTCGACACACTCGGCGAGCCGGATCGCCCATGCGCGGGCTGCTCTCTCGCATCCACGTTATTCCCGCGGGTCCCGGGGTGGCGCCGGTGGAGCTCCGAGAGTCGGCCTCCGTGGCCGAGAGGGTTCAGGAGTGGGAGGCCCAAAGGAGTTCGGCGGACGACGCCAGAGGCGATCCCGGCACTTTGATCGAACTGCCCAGAGGACCCAAAGTGTCTATAATTAAACAACGGGAGCATATGCTATCACATCGTCTAACATATAAACATCATAACCATATGCTCTAACATATAAACATTGGGCTAACATATAAACATTGGGCGGCCTATCGTAGTATATATATATACACACTTATATAAGAATATGAATGGCTTGGGCTAGTCATGAAACACGGCGGCATCTCATATAATCTATATGTATTACATATTGTATATACTTACGAGCTGCACATATGGAGGCCGATGCTGATGATGATGACCCCCTCCTCCTCGGGGAGCGCGAAAGGCGGCCCAGACAGATCGAGGTGCAGCCGCCCCAGACCGTTCGGACAGGGCGGAGGAGGAGGAGGAAGAGGAGGAGGAGGAGGAGGAGGAGGAAGCGGGAGGAGGAGGAGGAGGAGGAGGAGGAGGAGGAGGAGAAGGGTGATCAGGGGGAGGAGGAAGAGGAGGAGGAGGAGAAGAAGGAGGAGGGAGAGGAGGGGGAAGGGCGGACAAGGAGGGAGAGAGGAGGAGGATGGGATGAGGAGGAGACGGAGGATGAGGAGAAGGATGAGGAGAAGAAAGAGGAGGAGGAGGAGGAGGAGGGGGAGGAGGGGGAGGAGGAGGACGAGGAGGAGAACGAGGAGGAAACAAGGAAGCGCGAGCCCGCAGGCTCGGCCCGAGCCTGCCACGGGCCCGAGCGCGCCTCGGGCCCGCGGCCCGCGGCCCCCGCGGGGCCCGCGGCCCCCGCCCTTGGGCCCGCCTTGGGCCCGCTCCCGCCCTTGGGGAGCTTTGGGGGGAGCAGCAAAAACGCGCCCGACCCCGCCCCTCTGCCCCGACCCCCGACCCCGACACTCTGCCCCGAGGGGCGGGGCGCGCGTGTTTTTGATGCTCCCCGCGGTCGGCGGCGGGCGTCCATGGCGGAGGATGCGGCGCGAGCGTGGAGGTCAGGGCCGCGCTCCACGTTCGGGGACGAGGCCAAGCTGGCGGACGTGATCCGCCAGCACGTGAAGGTCCTCCTCCTCCTCCTCCTCCTCCTCCTCCTCCTCCTCCTTCCCCTTCCCCTCCTCCTCCTCCTCCTCCTCATCCTCCTCCTCCTCCTCCTCCTCCTCCTCCTCCTCTGCCTCCTCCTCTCCTCCCCCCCCTCCTCCTCCTTCCTCCTCCTCCTCCTCCTCCTCCTCTCCTCCTCCTCCTCCTCCCCCCCCTCCTCCTCTCCTCCTCCTCCTCCTCCTCCTCTCCTCCCCCCCTCCTCCCTCCCCCCCCCCTCCCCCTCCTGAAGGACGCCGACGCCTTCGAGTACGGCTCGCGTCCAGGAGAAGACATCTTCGACGCGTCGTGCATCAAGATCGTCCTCGACCACGCCAAGTTCATCGGAGCGCTGGAGGGGCTGGTGCCGAATTTCAGCATCAGCGAGAGGGCGGCCTACGCTGCATTCAAGGCCGTGGCGCAGGACCCCGCGGGCGAGGGGAAACTGCGGAGGAGGCGGAGGACGAGAAGGAGGAGGAGGAGGAGGATGAGGATGAGGATGAGGAGGAGGAGGAGAGGAGGAGGAGAGGAGGAGGAGGGGGGGAGGACGATGCGCTGTCGTCGATCTACCCCAGGATGGACAGCTGAAAGGGGATGGAGGAGGATCGGCGGAAAGGAATAAGAAAAGGAGGAGGAGGAGGAGGAGGCGGAGGAGGAGGAGGAGGAGGAGGGGAAGGAGGAGGAGGCGGAGGAGGAGGGGGGAGGAGGAGGAGGGAGGAGGAGGAGGAGGAGGAGGAGGAGGAGGAGGAGTAGGAGGAGGATAATGAGGAGGAGGAGGAGTGAGGAGGAGAGGAGCGGAAGGACGACGAGGAGGGGAGGAGAGAAGAGGCAGAGGAGGAGAGGAGGACGGAGGAGGAGGAGGAGGGGGTAGGAGGAGGTGGAGGAGGAGGCATTGAGGAGGAGGAGGAGGAGTATGAGGGGAGGACGCCATAAAGGGGCCTCCGATCCGAACGCTGTCAAGGGAGCGGCCCTGGAGGCGCTCGCAGAGGAGAAGGGGAAGATGCTGCGCAGCTTGTGCAGGCACCTCCTACAACCCGTGCCGCCTGCGCCGCAAGTGCGCGACCGACGCGCCGAGGTGGTACCGCAAGCTCAAGAGCTTGCAGGGCAGCGGGCCTCTTCCGAGCCCGAGCCCGAGCCCGCGGCGTGATCCCTCGCCTGTGGCGTCGCCGCGCGGCCAGGGCTCGGGCTCGCCGCCGGCGGTGATCGTCGGCTGGGGCCCGACGGTCGGCAAGGCCTTCAGGAAGGTTGGCGAGAAGGGCAAGGCTGAGTTCTCGGTGGACATCTTCTCGAAGGGCGAGTCGCAGGCGGCCTTCATGTGGGCTCGCTGGCCCGACGGCGCGGAGTGCGAGCTGAGCACCTTGACCAGGCGCGACTGGGCCAGCCTCGGGACCTCCAAGCAGAAGCAGAATGCGTTGCTGTGGCAGGGCATGAAGGGCGACGACAAGGTGCGTCGGGCCCTCGACGAATCACACAAACAACGAGGAGGAGTGAGGGGGAGGACGATTATGAGGAGGCTCAGGTTGACGATGACGACGATGAGGGGACGAGGAGGATGAGGAAGAGGAAGGAGGATGACGGCTCAGGGTGAGGAAGACGAGGATGACGAGGAGGATGAGGAGGAGGAGGAGGAGGAGGAGGAGGAGGAGAAGGTTGGGGAGGATGACAAGGAGGAGGAGGAGGAGGAGGAGGGGGAGGAGGAGGGGGAGGGGGGGGCGAGGAGGACGAGGGTGACGAGGAGCGCCCCGCTCGCCCCAGGTGGTGGTCAAGAACAAGGCCATCAGCGCCACGAAGAGCGGCATTATCTACGGCATCGTGATGGATGTCAATGGTTCGCAGAAGCTGCAGATGTCGTTCCATTTGAAAGACGAAGAAAAAGTGAAGGTGTGGATGATCTCTCACGCCAAGAAGAACGCGGCGGGCAAGCACAGCA